GTTATCTTTCCTCTTTTTAATAATAACATTCTGACAAGCATAAAGTTATATCTCATTGTGGTTGTAATTTGCATGTCCCTGATGATTAGTGATACTGAGCATTATTTTCATATACTTGCTTGTCACTTGTATGTCTCTTTTTGAAAAATGTCTATTTAGGTACTTAGCCCATTTTTCTATCAGGTTGTTTGTTTTCTAACTACTGAGTTGAGTTCCTTACATATTTTGGATACTCACTCCTTAACAGATATATGGTTTTGAAATATTTTCTTCCATTCTACAGGCTGTCTTTTCACTCTGTTGTTTCCTTTGCTATAGAGATACAACAAATTTTTGTGTAGTGATCTCCTAGCTTTGCTTTATTCTGAATGCCTAACCAACTTTGCTTTCCTGGAATAAAGTCTATTAGGTCATGGCATATTATCCTTTTAAAATATTGTTAGATATGATTTTCTAAATTTTTGCTTATTATTTTTGAATCTATATTCATGAAAGATAGTGGTGTTCAATTTTCTTCACTTAGAGTGTCGTTATCAAGTTTTTTTATGTGGGTAATAATAGTATAATTTCTAGAGGACTTGTGTTGAATTGGTATTAATTATTACTTAAATACTTGGCAGAATTCAACAATGAAGTCATCTGGGCTTAGAGTATTGGTGGAAAATTTTTAACTACAGATGCAATTTCTTTAAGAAATACAGGGGCATTTGGTTATCTATTTCTTCTTAAGTGAGCTTTGGTAGTCTGTGTTCTTCAAATAAATTTTCCATTTTATCTAAATTGTTGAATTGATAGGCCTAAAGATGTTCATTGGCTGGGTGTGGCAGCTCACTCCTGTAATCCCAGCACTTTGGGAGGCTGATGCAGGTGGATCACTTGAGGTCAGGAGTTCGAAACCAGCTGGTTAACATGGTAAAACCCCATCTCTACTAAAATTACAAAACATTAGCTGGGCATGGTGGTGGGCCCCTGTAGTCGCAGACTCTTGGGAGGCTGAGAGAAGAGAATCACTAGAACCCAAGAAGCAGAGGTTGCAGCGAGCCAAGATTGCATTGTACTCCAGCCTGGGCAATAAGAACAAAACTCTATCTCAAAAAAAAAAAAAAGATGTTCATAATATTTCCTTGTTATCCTTTTAATACCTGTAGTATCTGTAGTTTTGTCAATCCTCTGAGCTATAACATTGGCAACTATGTCTTCCCTTTTTTTTTTTGATCAGTGTAACTAGAGATTTATCAATTTTATCTGTCTTATCAAATCACTAGTTTTTGGTTTCATAATTTTCTCTCTTCTTTTTGCTTTCCATTTCATTGATTTCCTCTTTGATCTTTACTATTTCCTTCCTTTTGCTTACTTTGGGTTTAATTTGCTCTTCTTTCTCAAATTTCACAAAACGGAAGTTGAAGTCATGATTTGAAATCTTTCTTTTTTCTCATATTGGTATTTGTTTCATTATTTTTATCTAAGTAGTACTTTAGTAGCATCACACTGAATCTGATACAATGTGTTTTCATTTTTCATTCATTTCAAAATACTTCCTAATTTCTCTTTGGATTTTGTCTTTACTCGCGGGTTATGTAGATGAATGCATAAGAGGAGTCACCCAGAGATCTCTGGGATTCTCTATGCAGTTCTCTTCACGCCAGTGTTCTGTCCTCTGAAATCTGGCTGTTTTGGTCTCCCTGGCCTTTCTGTTCTGTTTTGTCAACTCAGACAGTCTGCTATGCATTACCTGAGTTAGCCCCTTCCTGTGCTGCAGTATGGAAACTCTTTCAATGCAGTAAACTGAGACAATCATAGCACTCCTCTTGCCTTTTTCCCATATCGCGGGGGACCAATGTCCTTGGTTGCCTGATATCCAGTGTCTTAAAAACCACCGTTTCATATATTTTGCCTGTTTTTTTTTTATGGTTTTTTTTCAGGGAAGAGAGTAAATTTGGCCCCTGGCCGGACGCAGTTGCTTATACCTGTAATCCCAGCCCTATGGGAGGCCAAGGCATGTGGATCACAAGGTCAGGAGTTCAAGACCAGCCTGGACAAGATAGTATAACCCCGTCTCTACTAAAAATACAAAAATTAGCCAGATGTGGCGACAGGTGCCTGTAATCCCAGCTACTCAGGAGGCTGAGGCAAAAAATCTGCTTGAACACAAGAGGTGGAGGTTGCACAGAGCCAAGATTGTGCCACAGCACTCCAGCCTGGGTGACACAGTGAGATTCCATCTCAAAAAATAAATAAATAAATAAATTGGCCTGTTACTCCACATAAGCTGGAAGAAGTTCCATTTCATTTTGCTTATATCATTATAAACCCATTTGATTTATTTTAATTCTTTACAGAATCTTCCTTTTCAATGCTCAAAATATCTCAGCTTAAGTCAGTAGTAGCTATTTCACGTTGGCTTTTGGTCCTTTGACATATTCCTTCTAGTCTCTTTAGTGGCAAATGACATGCAGGCCCCACAGTCTAAACACTGAAGATAACTATATATTTGCATTTTCTGAACTTGTTTTTAAAAGTGGAAAAGAGACCAAGATAGAGAGATTTTATATTTACATAACAGGTACACTACAATGAAAAGAACACCCTTGTGTTAGAGGAGACCCAATTCTACCACATACAAGTCACTAATACTCTTAACTGTTACATATAGACCTCAAAAATTCTTATCTTTGCTTCTTAAATATGGACCTCTAAGTTTCCAAACATCATCCCATAAGTCTGACTTTATCTTATCAACCAGTGTGTATTCAGTCTGCTAATTCTGAACTCTCATTTACACGGTCATAGCAGCTTAAAAAGAAGGCTTCTTATCCTAATATTGCTTGATATTAGCAGAATCTAAGTAACAATGGTGTGCCATCAGTAAGTAATACAAAGTAAATGAGAATTCAGTCAAGCCTGAGGAAATCAAAATAAAATTAAATCCAAGGGACCACAGAAGGATACCAATGTCCTTCCATCTATTCCCAATCATCTATTCTCCTGCCCTTGATTTAACAATCTAAGATATCACAAATCCCCAATTTTCCCTTCTAACCTACTAAATTAGACTTGATATTTCTTAGTTTCCATGAGAGCCCCTCACAGTCCATTCTAGGCCAATGATTCATAAATTCATAAATTCTTCAGGGTGCAAGAACTCCAAATCTGATGAGAGATCATCTAATACAGGCACATAATTTCAAAGACAGAGAACTAAGATACAGAGATTTTATGCTCCTTGCCTCTCTTAGTAAACTTAAAAAGGCAGATATGTAGTGACATCATGTGTTAGATTTTTTAAAATCATGTAAAAACATATTTAGGTTGATATCTCTCAACACTCTATATCTCACATCTTCCTGATTATTTGTTTTATTATGCACTATGATGATAAGGAAAACACAACTTTTTAAGTGGTGTTTATATAATTACAAACATTTTTGTGAATGTCTTAGTAACTGGTATGAAAACACTACCCGAATACAAATCTCATAAAATAAAAAGCATTAATTTTATTAAAAACTGAGTTCTACTCTTTTCAAGAGATAAACCAATTAAAACAGCTTTGCAGAACCCATGCATGTATAAAATGTCTTCTTGCCTTTACTTGAATCCAGAAAACTAAGCAACACTAGTCACTTAGTTTTACACAACAGTTTTCTCATCAAAGCAAAGGCTCTGTTGAAGAACAAAGATGTTCCTCAAAACTTTGTGGACTAACTCTGAGTCCAATAGATTCTGATTGTTGACAGACCAAACCAGCAATCCTTGCCCATAATCTTCAGAAGAACCATCTCAGCAAATTGAGCTTTCCAATACAGACATTTGCTGTAGCTGTGTTTTATCACAGAGAATAATTGTGATCTTTTAAGTACCAGTGTACCACAATTTTTGGCCATCTCAAAATGCTCAGGGAAGCACTCACTGATCTAATAAGTCTTGTTTTGTCATTAATGAGTACAATTTCAAGTGATCATAAAAAGCCCACATATGGCCATCACAACACTTGTTGTGCACAATCTGTTCAATCAAAGGCATTTTTACTCTACACCATAAACAGCATTAAATGTGACTAGAAAAACTCATCTACCAAGTTGTTCAGGCCAAGGTTATAAAAAATAAATTAAAAATTATGGTTACACTAAGATGTTCTGATAGAGCAATAATTGAGAATAACAGGCCTATCCTCTCCTCTAGCTTTAGGCTTTGATCTTCAAAATAAAATTAAAGCTAATCAGTCCTTTAAGACACAGTACAACTGCAGGCTCTCTTTTAGATACACTAGACTAGAATAGTGATTTGATTTCTTAAAATCAAATTTTGTACTAATTTTCTAGCAATTTAGATACTATGGCATCTGGTTTTTGTTGCTGTTGCTGTTGTTGTGTTGTTGTTGTTGTTGTTGTTGTTGTTTTGAAACAGAGTCTCAGTCTGTCACTCAGGCTGGAGTGCAGTGGCATGATCTTGGCTCACTGCAACCTCCACCTCCCAGGTTCAAACAATTTTCCCATCTCAGCCTCCCAAGTAGCTGGGATTACAGGCACACGCCACTACACCCAGCTAATTTTTGTATTTTAGTAGAGACAGGGTTTCACTGCCTTGGCCAGGCTGGTCTCAAACTCCTGGCCTCATGTGATCGGCCTTCTTTAGCCTCCCAAAGTGCTGGGATTACAGGTGTGAGCCACCACACCCTGCTGACACCTGTTTTAATATCAATAGTTTATACTTAGCGTTTACTGTAGTCTCTACTCTCATTCAATCATCTTATATATATATTACCTTATTTAACACCCTAAAAAATAATTTTCCCATTTAGCTAAGTGATAGACCCAATAATCCAATTTGAGGTTATAATGGCATCCAGGGTCCTGTTCACTGTATGGCCTTATCACAGTCCTAGGTAACTCATAAATATTTGCTCATTTCCTAGGGAGTAAAGAAAGACATTATATCCCATTAAAGTGTAAGCTCAAAGAGATCTGAAGACATCAAACTGAAGAGACCTGGGATCTTACCTGTTTTTTTTCATCATTGTGTTGCCAATATAGCAGCTTTCTAATAGTTGTGAAATGAAGGAAGGTTGAAGAAAAAGGTTGCTTAGCTATAAGCTGGAAAAGGCAAGACTCACATTCACTTTCCTAGGTACTATAGGATAGAACTGAAGGCTATATACAGTAACAAATTACAGATAATACATGGGTAAATTTTATAGTAGCTGTTTTTTCCATTACACAGATGTGAGAGTTGGCTTCTAATTATTTTAAAGCTCTGGAAAGCAGTAGAGATGACACATCAGTGAGAGATTACAAAAGAACTGGCAGTTTGATCATTTCTAAAAATATGAAATTTCATATAATCATTATATTAGTGAACTCTCTGAACCACAATGTAAGTTTATATCATATATTCACCTCTCTTTTCACTTTACATATTCAACTTGATCATATGCACTGACCATATTCACTTTTTAAAGCCAAATACTCATAGGATCTAGTGATATATGAGCACTTAAAATTAAATCAATCAAAATATCTTCTAAGCACAATGGATTACATTTAAATGATTCTTGTCATATATATTTATTTGATATATATTTCATAGCCATTAGCAATGAAAAAGCAAAAAGCTTCTTGTTTAAATGAGTATTCCATTTCAGAAAGTAAAAGTTTGGTATTGCTTTCTTCAACTCATTTTAACTTTATCAAACATTAGTATACTTCTATAATGGTCTGACTATCCCTTATTCAAGTAAATTCAACAATTTAGGGATAACCAAGGAAAAGCAGCCATAGTACATACCTTGGTTAGGTGAATGACTCCTTTAGAAGTGACTGAACAACCCATGAAGCCTACATATTGAAGCTCAGGACAGTGTTCAGCAAATGCTTTCACCGACTGATCTGTCACCTAGGAAGAGACATGGATAAAGTTATTCAAGGTGATAGTTCAATGAATGTAAGGATCTGGCTCCTGAAAATCCCCTCGGCCCTGCCGTGCATCACTAGTATTTCCCTCTCTTAGATGGTTTGAGTTAGCATACAAACATGCTATAATATTCCCATATTTTTAAAAGTCCTCTCTTGACCCTACATCCAATTCTCATCACCCCATGTTTGTACACTTCTCCATAGAAAATTACTCAGTGATATTGACACTGGCTACCTCTACTTCTTTACCTTCTCCCCTCCCTCTGTCAAAATATATATATTTTTTATATATGTATATATACACATACACACACACACACACACACACACACACATATATACATGCATTTGTTTGGTTGGGTTTTTTTTGGCTTTATTTTTATTTGTATTATTTTGAGACAGAGTCTCACTGTGTTGCCCAGGATGGAGTGTAGTGGCACAATCTCGGCTCACTACAATCTCTGCCTCTCAAGTTCAAGTGATTCTCCTGCCTCAGGCTCCCAAAGTAGCTGGGACTACAGGCATGCACCACCATGACCAGCTAATATTTTTTTTTTTTTGAGACAGAGTCTTGCCCTGTCGCCAGGCACCAGACTGGAGTGCAGTGGCACAATCTCGGCCCACTGCAACCTCTGCCACCCAGGTTCAAGCAATGCTCCTGTCACAGCCTCCCAAGTAGCTGGGACTATAGGTGCACACCACCACACCTAGCTAATTTTTGTATTTTTTAAGAGATGGGGGTTCACCATGTTGGCCAGGATGGTCTCGATCTCTTGACCTCGTGATCTGCCCTCTTTGGCCTCCCAAAGTGCTGGGATTACAGGTGTGAGCCACTGTGCCCGGTCTTTTTTTTTTTTTTTTTTTTTTTTCTGTACTTTTAGTGAAGACAGGGTTTCACCATGTTGGCCAGGCTGGTCTCAAACTCCTGACCTTAAGTGATCCAGCCTCCTCGGCTTCCCAAAGTGCTGATTAGAGGTGCAAGCAAACACACCCAGCCAATATATATATTTTTATTGACATTTAATTCACTTACCATAAAATTTACCCTTTCAACGTGTACAGTTCAGTATATTCACAAGGTTATGCACCATTATCGATATCTAATTCCAGAACATGTTCACCACCCTCCAAAAACCCCATGCCCATTAACGGTCATTTCCCTATTTCCCACTGCCTCCAAGTCTGACAGTCTAGATTTTCCTATTCTAAACACCTTATATAAAAATAACTACACAATTTGTGATCATTTGTGACTAGCTTCTTTCACTTAGCATAATCTTCAAGGTTCATCTATGTTGTAACAGGTGTTGGAATTTCCTTACTTTTCAAGGCTGAAAATGCTCCATTGTATGGATATACTACATTTTTATGGGTTGAATTATGTCTTAATATTCCTATTTTGAAATCTTAACCCTCAGCACCTCACAATGTGATCTTATTTGGAAACAGGGCTGCTATAGTTGTAAGTAACTAAGTTAGAATGAAGTTGTACTGGAGTGGAGTGGGTTGCCAGTCCAACATAACTGGTGGAGCACAGATGCACACACAGGGAGAATGCCATGTGAAGACTAAGTTATGCAGCCACAAGCCAAGGAACACCAGATTGCCAAAAAAGTACCAGAAGTTAGGTGAGAGGCCTGGAACACATCCTTTCCCAGCACCTTCAGAAGGAACATGGCCCTGACAACACTTTGATCTTGAATTTCCAGGCCCTAGAACTGTGATACAATAAATTTCTATTGTTTAAGCCACTCAGTTTGTGGTACTTGGTTATAACATCCCTAGCAAGCTAATATACACATTAATTTCCACGGCCTCTTGATCTCACAGTAATCAAGTTTTTGTCCCTCTCAATCACTGTCACCATTCTATTAATTAAATGGTCAGTCTGAATTTTCATCCCAGCAACATCAACTGGAGAAGACTCCAGTTGATGAGTCTTCTGGAAACAATTACTTAAGTTGTTTCTTGTGCATCACACTATTCTAGCTTTCCTCCTTCCTTACTGTTGGCTCTTGGTCACTTGGTTGAGTCTATCTCATCTCAGTCCTCAGCTCATTTCTCTTTTACATCTCTTTTTTTTTTATGAGTCGGAGTTTCACTCGTTACCCAGGCTGGAGTGCAATGGCGCGATCTCGGCTCACGCAACCTCCGCCTCCTGGGTTCAGGCAATTCTCCTGCCTCAGCCTCCTGGGTAGCTGGGATTACAGGCACGTGCCACCATGCCCAGCTAATTTTTTGTATTTTTAGTAGAGAGAGGGTTTCACCATGTTGACCAGGATGGTCTCAATCTCTTGACCTCGTGATCCACCCACCTCGGCCTCCCAAAGTGCTGGGATTACAGCCTTGAGCCACCGCACCCGGCCTCTCTTTTCCATCTTACTTCATTCCCTAGTGAATAAAATCTAATCTCATGGCTCCTAAATAACTCTCCTAGACTCTCTCTGTCTCTGAGCACACTTTGATTTTCTTCATACTTATCACTACTGATCACATTACACACTTCCTCACATATTAGTTTGTCGGTCTTCCCCTTTGAAAATAACTCTTCTCTCCTTCTCCCCTAGAATAACGAACCATTCTGGTTTGCCTCAGAGAGTTTCAGTCTTAGCACTGAAAGTCCTACAACCCAGAAAACTACTTAGTTCCCCATCGGCACCTAGAATAATCCCAGGTACTTAGCAGAAAAAACTGAAAGAAGTAAATAAATTGTTTTTCCTTCTATGTACTCCATCATACTTTTTACTTCTACTTTATTTTATTTATTTTTAGACAGAGGGTATATTTGTATTATTTTAATACACTGATTTTTTAAATGTCATTCTACTAGTGGCTTTATTTTCTGATATAGTTCATGTGTTTTATGAAGACTTTTTTTAAAAAGTGGGAGGAGGCACATTTTTTACACCAGTGACTCAACTTTGATCTGTACCATGATTAATTTTCTATATCAACTTGACTATACCATGAGGTGCCCAAATATTTGGTTAAACATTATTCTGGGTATTTCTGTGAGAGTTTCTGAGTAATATTAACAAGTGAATCAGTAGACTGAGTGAAGCAGATTGCCTTCTTCAATGGAGAGAGACTTCATCCAGTCTGTCAAAGGCCTGAATAGAACAAAAAGTCAGAGTAAGGGAGAACTGATGCTCCCTCTGCCTATCTTCCAGGTAGGACATTAGTGTTCTCCTGCCTTTGACTAAGACTTGCACTGGAATTTTCACCATTGGCTCTCCCAGTTCTCAGGTCTTCAAACTTGGACTAGAATTTATACCATTAGTTTTTTTACTTCTCAGGCCTTCAGACTTGGACTGAGACTATACCACTGGCTCTCCTGGAACACCAGATTGCCAAATGGAGATCTTGGAACTTCTCAGTCTCCATAATCATGGAAACCAATTCCTAACATCAATCTCTAGAAAAGTATATCAACAGACAGATAGGCAATATCCTAATTGTTCTGTTTCTGTGGAGAACCCTGAATAAAACCTTGAGCATTATAATCCTGAGCTTTATTATATTAAAAACTCAGAGTTGAAAGGAGTAAGGCCCAAGGAACTGTATTTTCAGCAAGTTGCCAAGTGGCACATAAGCATGTGAAAGCATGAGTCCCCAGTGCTGCAAAGAAGTTACACTGACAGTGTTTGGTTTTTCTAAGCAGCTCTGCTTCACATGAATGGCAGAATAAAATTCCCTTTTTATCTCCCCACCTCCAAAAAATTTCCTTTTATAGAATTATCTTCTTGTAATTGTGCTTAAATATTCAAGGTTTCCCAAAGATGTAGCTTATAAAAGAAAGTCCAAATATTCTCCATCATATTCCTAATTTCAGATTCACTTTCTTCTCAGTCAAGATGAAATCAACAAGTTTAACGTCTTTGTTAGTTTTTCAAACAGCTGCAATTTACATCTCTTTGGCATTAGCTTTAGTATGGGTCACTCTTTTTGTATCTTCCTTATCTATGCTGAACAGATATTGGAAAAAGAGGTATGTGCATAGCATTAATGCTAAAACAATCATAAGAACATTTTCCTAAAATAATGAAACCAACAGCATCTATGGTACATGTGATAAAAGATTAATTCTCCCCTCAAAAGTAAAGTATGCTTAAGCATATTAAGACTAAGGGTGCCATTGATAAATTAAAAATAGACTTCCTGATACTTAGCATTCTAAAGGCATTATGTTAACAAAGAATATTTAAAGCACTAAAATCGCTGGAAGCTTCAATGAAATTCAATCACTATTTAAAACAAAAAGGGGTAACAGAGGTTAAGTACATGGTCAGTTGGTTAAACACCCTGCTCAATTTCAGTCTAACATTAAGTTTTCTCTATATCTATCTTCGAGGAGAGGAGAAGAACACAGATAAGGATTAAGGGCACAAGAAAACTCAGGTCCAAGAGGCCAGAGCATTCAGAGAGCAAAAAATGGGGTTTAAAAATGTGCTTCTTGGGTCTTTCTCTCTCAGCTCAAGCAATTAGAGTAAGATAGCTCAGAGGAACCTCTAACACCAACAGGGTCCTGGAAAGCAAAGCAAGAGTGTGTCGTGAGGATACAGAAACACTGTTAGTAGGCTTGGGTATGTTTCAGGAGACTAATAAAATGGCCTTGAAGATTTGGGTGGAATCCAGCTCCACTTCCCAAAGATAGATCAGTTAGGGATTTGGGGCAGAAAGTCTGGCAGAAACAGACTACAGATTACAGGAAGCAGGTACTGGTGGGTATCAGCTTCTCTGGGACCCTGGAGTCTGACTGCCTAGCTTCAAATCCCAGCTGGACCACTTAGTAGCTGTGTGATTTTGAACAAGTCATTTCTCCTCTCTATACATTTTGTTCATTCTATAATATAGAGAAAATTACAGTACCTACCACACAGGGTAAAATGTGAAGGTAAAATAAGATAATGCATGTAAAATGTTTTGAACAAAGTATGACACATTGTCATTAGTCAGTAGATTTTAACTATTATCATAATC